ACCCAGAGAGGGAAGTGACTTTTCCAAAGACTCCCATCTAGTGCTCTTGGCTCCACACCGCCCTGCCTCTCAAGGACAGCTTTGGGGTAGGGGATGGAGAGAAAAAGGGAAGTCAAAGGTAAGGATGACAAAATTGAGATCTCATCATTTGGGTCAACCCCACAATGGGTAGGATCTACATAAACCAGTGTCACAGATGGTCCCAGTGAGAGCCTCTGCAGCCTCAGGGACCTCACAGAAAAGGTCTGAGAGCAGTGCCTGGCCTGTGGCAGGGCCGGATGAAAAGCCCTGCACCATTCATTTGCTGTGACCTTGGGTTGCCTCATTCATTCATTCATTCATTCATTCAATAAGTATTTACTAACCATCTGCTATGTGCTGTTTTAGGAGCTTGGGATATTTCAGCGAACACAAGATCCTTGTCCTTATGAAGCATAATAAAAATACAGAGGTTTCCTATATCAGTTCTAAAGTATCCTTCAAGTGAAAGGTGCTGAGGAAAAGCAAAAATTTTTGTTGCATTCTCTCACAGTGGGCTGGGTCCAATATGTTGATGTCAGCAAGCAACAATAGGAAGGGAGGGATATATATATATCTCCTGTGCAGGACAGGGTAACCAGTCCAACCACGTGCAGTTGGGAGGCCAGATATACCAGGTGTATCGATTAATAATGCAGATTTTTTTCAATAGATGGAGTTACACATCTGTTGATATATATGCGATTTGATACCACTTGTCCCGATTGATGGCACAAGCACTTTCTGAGCAGCACTTCCAAATGTATGAAGAAGTGAAAAATTGGGTCTCTGAATGGTTTGCCTCAAAACAAGAAAAGTTCTATTGGGACGGTATCCACAAATTACTCGAAAGATGGGGGGATGTGTAGCTAGTGATGGAAGTTACTTTCAATGAAGCACTTTTGATGTTTCTCTTGAAATTATAGTGTTTTCTTTGGATTACAAAATCGGCATTATTAACCCGTTAACATTTAATCCGGATTATTAACCGGTTAACAGTTAATCCACATTATTAACTGGTTAATAATTAATCCGCATTAATAACCGGTTAATTGTTCCGCCCGGAGATGAGGTGAGGAGCGGGCTGCGCGG